AATTTAAAATCGTTTTAATTAACAGTAGTGAACATTTAACGTCTGATATGATGACGATGACTTCTAATTGAAAATGTAATTCTAAATGTGTAAATACATTAATCAATATAATACAATAACGATATTAAATTATTCAACTATTTTTTTCTTATGAAAAGAAAACGAGGAAAAGTCTTAGTAGGTGGACTGCTGTGAATAACGCCATCTATTTTCAGTGTGACCAAACTTTTAAATGGAATTTCTAGGTTATGAAAATCACTGGTGATACTAAAAATTTTAATATCCGGCCGTTACGAAAAGTTATATCTATATTGATTCTTATTATATAATGAACGATGAGATTTGTCAAATCTTTTAAAATAACACTTAATATCTAGTACTTTATTATTTTGGTGTTTCTAGGTAACTCTTTTTTCTTTCTCATTTCAAGATTATGACATTAGACAATGTAATGGTTATTTATAAGGCCATTGCATTAAATAGATTAGATTAGACATAAATATCGATTATAATTATTAATATATGTGTATATATATCTATAATATTTTATTTACTATTAAATATACATAAATAGAAAATATTTTTACTACAAAATACATAATAGATTTATGTTTTATTATCTACATACAAGTCTGTATATCTATCAATATATAATAACTATATTGAAATATATATATATATATATAAACCAATTTTTACTGAGACTATTGTGTGTAGAACAATTTGCTAATAAGCAATTTATTTAAAGAAGCTTGAAAAAGATTCAATACGAGTTCCGCGCTACATTTTCATTCAATAGGCAGGTCGGTAGTTTTCTATTATCTATATAGGTTATACGGGTTAGTTATTAGTTATAAAGCTTTTAGATATTAATATAACCTAGATTAGATTATGATATAGGATTATTTGAACCGAACACCGCAACATCGCCCTCAACATTCTACAGCGAATTCACGTTCAATATTTTCGTCGATGTTTTAGGTCGTGTAGCAAACAGCTAGCTCGGTTTATATATATCTTAGGATGGGAACGTCCATTCTTGCGTACTTACAGTACAGTGCGATACTCCCATATATCTGCCGTGACACGACACACGCGAAAATGTTAAATGTAACGGTGAACAATACCTAAACACATGAGGATACGTGAAACGGTAACAATGTTTCAGATTCTTACATAATTCGGGTCGGCCATTCGGGCGGCACGCAAGCGAATTTCGCTCTTACACACACTAGGGCTTAAGCTAACATTTTCCATTTTCCATGCACCATAGCTATTTCGGAGCTGCGCCGGCGACTTTTAACCTTGAATGGGAAACGCACCTTTAATTTTAGCCGGATAACCTAGATACGGAACCATTTCAAGAGAGGGTGGTCGATAGTCGCATGCGCGGTGTCTACGTGGTTCTTTTTTTTAACTGTTGGCGGTGGTTTGACGGGCTAGGTATGCCGGGGCCCGAAGCTCGCGACCGACTGAACTAAAGAAGTGCTGTACGCAAGCGCACTGGGCACTGTCACTAACGATCGCAGTATGTGAGAGGTTGGCACTGGCACTACGCTCGCATGTGAGAACAGGTGTTTCGGGATATTAATGGTTGATTCTTATGGCATTTACCTAGTTGTTAGTTTATAGAGCTATTGCTTTCATGAATTTTATAGCCACGGCAATCTCAAGTCTCCTTCAATATTTTTCTATTCAGATATAATTTAGACTTCTCATATGATAAATGTTTAAGTCTGATTTATACTTTTAATTGAATAAGGTATGAAAATAGAAATATAATAATCTAGTCTAACTTCCCATATCAGTGGCGCTTCAAGCGACGAAAATTTGAACTAATCGCTGAAAGCTCACGCAGCGCGGAATGTCTTTTTCAGCTGAGCAGCGGATTTGACAATAGGCGTACAAGTTTTTTCGTCCTGACCTACATATATTTACAGCAATTAATACTTTTTATTTCAAAGAAAGATACATTACATTCATTAATTTAATCTAACATAAGACTATTTTAAAAGTTAAAAATAGTCAATATAAACCTAAATGTGATTTATTTGCATATGGGTGGGTGTGTAAGATATTATGTAAACTACAATTATATTACGCCATCTACATTCAATTTTATGCACTATAAATGACGTCACATAGAAAATTACTCCGTATGCGACGTGTCACGACATCTATTGAGATTTTCTGGAGACTGTTGACGAAGACAATGAAGTTAGATGGTGTAAGTGTATAAAGACGTTTCCAACCTTAAACTTTATTATAACTTTTATAGGAAAAATTTATTTTACATAAAAATTTTCTACCGACCTCAAAATAAGGAAGTTCTCAATTCCGTTGTATTGTTTTTTTATGTTCGTTATTTCATAACTATGTTAATTGTAAATCGATTTGGAAAATTCTTTTTTTATCTAAAAGGTTATACATATTTACATATTGATCTCATACAAATTTAATCAAAATCGATTTAGTTATTTAGATTTTAAATCAAAATGGCAACGCATGGGGGTGTCATGGGCGAAACAGTATACTCTGTTATATCCATGGTACTGCTCATGTCTATAGGCGACGGTTACCACTTTCCATCAGGTGGGCCGTCAGCTTGTTTGCCATTCTACGTTGTACTTTATTATTAATACCCTATCAGGTCGACCTCCCTGCAGTTCTTCTTGGTAACTATCGTATTAAATTCTTAATGAAATCGTTCACTATGGGCTAACTGACCTGCCCTTCCATTGTCACCTATCGTCTCTCATTGGTACCCCGCCAGTGTATACCGATAGCGCAGGCGGTGTTACCATTCCATTATCACCCATTAAAAAAAATGGTGATGTAGAATCACTATGGTAGAAAAAAATATAACATACCATGATATGATTGAATTCATTATTGTAGATTGCATTAAAATGCATTAAAAAAACACCTCGAGTAAAAAAAGAAATAACAAAATAAAATTACATTTAATATATATATAATAATTTATTTAATATACCACAATTTAAATTGCGTTTAGTTTTATCTTATATTTTTAATGTAAACAAGTTCATAATATGGAAACTAAAAGGAGAGGCATACAATTTGATTACATACATTCCTACAGTCAACAAAAATAACGAGGTCTGTCCGACTATTATACATTGCCAATTACGTACGAATAATTATTTATTATAATGTTGAATGAATGAATGAATGAATGAATGAATGAATATTTATTTGCAAGAAATATGGTAAATATACAGATAGATAAAATAATATTAAGTCCACATATTTCGCCACAATTAGGCATGCAACATTTTAGATACTTAAATATTAAATTAACAATTCTTATAAAAAAAGCAATATGTCAATTACAATTTCATGTCGATTAATGTACTTCATCTCATTTGATATTAATACGTATTAGTTGTTGTTGCGTAAGAAACATAATTTTTCACTACGAAATATTGCTAAAATGCCTCTTCCTGTCCTACAATCACACTACTTGAGTGATATGACAGCATTGTAAAGATAGATTTTAAAAATTCAATTCAAAATTCAAAAATCATTTATTCATGTAGGACATTTTAGCCGCTTATGAACGTCAAATTTATAATAAATAAAAAAGTGTGAGTGTAAGTAATAAAAATGTATATGAAATTAGGTATTCCAAGAAATTAGGAGTGGGTAATATATAGATATCTATAGATATTTTCGTTTTTTTTTTTTTATACAACTTAGAATGGCAAACAAGCTGACGGCCCACCTGATGGAAAGTGGTAACCGTCGCCTATAGACATGAGCAGTACCATGGACATAACTGAGTATACTGTTTCGCCCATGATACCACCCATGGGTTGTTATTCCTGAGAACTCAGATGTTATTCCTTTGTACCCAGTAAATTCACGCCATATGCCACCCTTCAAACCGAAACACAGCCATGCAAACACAGCTGCTTCACGGTTGAAACACGAATGGGACAGAGTTACCCAAGCAATCGACTTTTGTACAAAGTCTCCCTCTGGTTACAATATCTATATTGTATTAATACTCGTTCAATAAAGAATATATTAAAAGTTTGTTATACAAAAAATAATATTGGACAACAAACTTTTTCGCAACATTCGAAAATAGATATCCGACCGATATGGATGATATCGAAATAGGTGATCACCTTTTTTCTACTATCAGTGTCCAGAAGAACCCAATATATAGATAGATGTAGGATCGGTATCCATATTTTCCATGCCTACTAGAGATGATATGCATAAGCGTAGAGGAAAGCTGGGTGGGCAGTGCCCTAATCAGAATAGTTTGGTGCCTGTGTTTGGTGTTTTTCGGTGTTTAGTTGTTTGAGTGTAAGTACCCACCATTTTTGAATGGCCGGGCCCCTGTTACATAGCTTACTTCGTGTAAGGCACATTGTCATAAAAATACTAACTTGCACGTGAATTCGCCTTAACATTTTTAATAGCCTTTATTTTGTATATATAATATATATATATATATATATATATATATATATATATATATATATATATATATATATATATATAGATTATTTTAATTTTAATATAATTATTCTCTGTTAAAAATAGTTTTTAGTCTCCACAGACTGACTTCTTAACCCCCCCCCCACCTCACCCACCATCTTCTGGAAAATAGTCTTAAACACGCCAATAGTGAGCTCTTACATGAAATGGATCATATGAATTAGGAATAAGTGGAAAGCTAAATGGCAATACAGACGCGTTGAGTGGAAGCGTATAAGAACGGCTGTACAATTCGTTAAGAGGGAGTCACGTGTGAATTGAGTTTTAGTGGAGGTAAAAAAATATGCAAGTGGCAATTTCAATGCTGCCAACTTTAAAATAGTTATTGTTTTATAAAATAAATAATGACATAATTAATACCAAGAAAATAATGCATATTAAGAACGATAGACTGGTATACAACGATAACTAGATAAATTACATTAAGTAGGGAATAAAATAGACAAGAAAGAAAGAAAATAATTGACTGGCATTTGACTAAATAATTAGTCGAATTTTATTAGTTTTACAATAATAGTTTTCATCATTCGTAAAATACATTAATTAGGCTTTATGGGAATTGTAAGTCGACTGTAATATTCTCTCTACATGATACATATAATATTTTCAAAAAAATAAATACTTTTTCGTCCAAACAATATTTTGGTTACACAGTAAAATAAAATATTTCGATATTTGTTCAAGAAAAAAATTAATAGAAGTCACGAAATTAATAGAAGTCACGAAATTAATATGTAGCACATGAAGTGAATACAATTAAAAATTTTATACATAATTTGTTTTTTTTTTTCACTATTGCTTCAGAGCAATGTAGTGATTTTGTCAAACTATTAAAATTGCTTTCAGAATTTCGTAATAACCTATTGTGAATTATTGTAATATGGCAATCAATTCTGGATATAACAACTTATTATATTTTAAATTATTTTGGCAAAAATAACTCTCAAAGTGGACGTCTTATATAAAAAAAAAGAGTATGTAGTGGACTAAAGTATTTATAAATTTAGCATTTATCAACGTTTGTTACGTACTACATAACAATTTCTATATACAAATTGAATCTCATTTATATCACATCATCCATTCAAAAATACATCTTAAATATAAAATGTTTAAGTCACATTTTCTCTTTGCGACATAAGGTAATTCATTTACAATAATATAAGCATTGTTGTCACATCACTATACGTTTTATCACACAAAAATTGTTATTTCGATTTATAAAAGCAACAAATTTATAAACAAAATGCATTACGATTCACTGTTACCAGTTTATTTTACAAATTAACAATATATTTTTTTCAATTTAAAATAATATAGTTAAAAGATTAAATGAACAATAATTAAATTGTTTTGAAGCAATAAATTTATAAACAAAATGCATTTACATTCACTGTTACCAGTTATTTTATAAATTAACAAATTTATTCCTCAATTTAAAATAATAAAGCAAAAAGATTAAATGAACAATAATTAAATTGTTATGAATATAAATCTGCATGTGAAAACGGTTATTACAAAAATAATTATATTTATAATTTATATACAAGATGGTAAGGTATAGACAGAAAAATTGGTAAGACGTATTAATAATATAAATGTCATATTAGGATCTTTGAGTCATCTAATTTGTTTGTATAGCAAAATATATATTTCTATTTAATAATGTAATTTGGTAACCTACATTTTATAGCATTAACAACTGAGGTAGTTGCAAAAATTGCAAAATAACAGGTCCGTCAAATGAATTCACGGTGTCTCAAATCGATGAACGTGCATTAAAGTCATCCATAACTCAACCATTACGTATACAACGTATTTTGTACGCTATCTACATATTATTTCCTATTTTTTTTTATAAATTTCCAAAATCCATTTCACAAGTAACCTACGGTGCCCACGACCACTTTCCACCAATATACAGCTCGCCATCGACAGGTAGTTCACCGCCATACCTTAGAGCCTGGATAGTCGCGTTAAGCGCGATTTCAAAGATTTTTCTTTCCACAGATGCTCTGGCTATGGAATGAGCTCCCTGTCGAGGGTTTTTCCAAGAGAATACAACATGGAATTCTTAAAAAAAAAAAAGCGGTAAAGAGATTTCTTCAGGGTCGGCAACGTGCGCGTAACGCCCCTGGTATTGCAGGCATTCGTAGGCTACGGTAACCGCTTACGTGCTTAAGTGGGCCGTATGCTTGTTTACCATCTCAGTGGTATAAAAAAAGTATGTATATTGTTACAGAAACTTCTGTTTTTGTAGGCTTTGTAATTCGGGGAAAATGTGTCTGATCATTAAACTCCTTTGAGAATTTTTTATTTATTCAAAATATTACTATGTTCTTATTTTACAAAAAAAAAATTGTTCAATTTTAAAGAGTCCTTGAGTACAATTTTTATGTAACATTTAATGGGAAACAAGCAAACACCTCACCGTCGCTTATAGACAAGAATAGACACTAAGAAGTACAGTTTTATATTTTTTAATGGTTGAATTATTTAATTTTTTTTTTCACACTTCATAGATTTGAGATACATTGTACCTAATATTTACATTGACTCACGAGATCTCAACACCAGACAATCATACACAAAATATTTACTAACTATCAAAACAATCGTTTCAAATGCTTAAATACTAACCGGTTTAATTATTTACTTGGTAGTTTTAATAAATTACCTAATTAAAATTGTAGGCCTCCTAAATTAATACTAAATAATTGCTTTATTGTACTCATTTTGTCTACTATTACTACATTCATAGGAGTGATTTTTTTTATGTTATTTCTGAAATGTTCATCATTTAGTGGATTACTATTAAAGATATGTCGGACGTTACGAGTTTTAGCGTCAAAATACATGTCAACGGTATGTAATTCTAAATCATACTAACAGTCAATTATTAAAACGTTTAGTTTTAACGTTGGCAATTTATCGTCTTCTATATGCAAATTTGGATACATGCAACATGTTAGTACCAAAACGTCCAATGTTTTAAGGTTTAAATTTATTTTCTCTTTTATCATGTCCTTAATCAATTAATCATATTTAATTCACTATTGATTTTCTTACTACTGCTACATTCTTTTTTCAATCTTGTATATTATTTCAGAAATATCATAACAACGGTAGTAACAAAAGTGCCATATCACATACATACATATCTACTAACTGATAATTTTAGCAGTTTTCTTAAAAATTATTATACTGTTATTATTTACAAGGTTTTTATCTACAATTAACTAGAAGCAATTTCCATATAATAGACATAGACGATGTTTAGAAAAATACTTAATTCTCCAACGTTCTAATCACCAGAATACGCACATAGTGAAAGTAAAATCATCTATTTGGAATACAGTTGAAACGAAAACAATATTCAATAGGTATAGACCTACTGTACAAAACAATGGTGTAAAAATATATGTCAGGCATGTAAAACAGAAACATGATAAAAACAAGTGAGTGGCTAAAACAGTTAGCACAAACGTAGGCGTAATGAAATCATTATGTCACGCGCTTACATCAATAGTTTGTAAAATTTCAAATAATAATTTTATTGTCCTGCTTAATAAAAATGATGTTAATGTTTAAAACGATAGTAATTGCAATAAATCACATTTTTGGGTTCATATCACAGATTGAGGCACCCTCATTTAGAAAGATTGCCACGCTAACATCAATTCGGAGGAGGCCAAGGTGATATAACAAAATTTATATACATTAACTAGGCTCCCCTATCATAAGACTTGCGATTTTCAAAGCCAACATGCAAAACAATAAAGGTGTTCCTAAATAGATCATCCACGTATGCTGATATTCATTGGCACCGAGCACCTTAAAGGCTTTTCACAATTAATACTGCAAAGATATATCATATATTTTAAAGTAAATCACCAATAATTAAACCGAAATACTAAATAATAAATACTTTTCTAAAAGTCAAATTTTAATGGGTCAAATTGAAAGACACGTATATATGCAAAAATACATCTACACATTGTCATATCTCATTTGTCGTGTTATTTCATCTAGCTTGTAATCTTATGCAAAACTATACGATTTTGCAAGACACCTTCAACAATTCTTGTTGAGTTGGTATGATTAGGCTTGAAATATAGCTTTGGCGTGGTTTTTCGTTTATCATTCCACAAAATTAACACGATCACTGAACATTATTACCGTATTGCATGCCAAACATTGATAAAATAAAGAATGCCAGACCCAAGAACACTGAGCCTAGGAGGTCACCTAACGCTGTAAGATATGGTATAGCTGCATTGTCCGGATCTTTCTTTTTCTTCCACATTAAGTGAATGAATACATATGCCAGGTAAAGTAGCACCATGACCTGTAAATAAGAAACAATACAAATGACTTATTGTAGATTTTAATGACATAACAAATTTAAAATAGCAATTTCATTCTATTAATATTGTTATTACAAATGTGATAATTTGTAAAAATTATTGAACGACTGTATTTCAATCACACTTTATTTGCTGGTGAAATTTGAATAAAATTTCGTGTATAGTTGCATATATTATGAATATATGTATAGAAAAATAAGATATTATTATTAGAATTTATTGTATAAATTTTAATATTTATTTCTTAAAGAATAATGCTATGTATATGTATTTTCACGTGTTCATATTGTATCTGCTACGCCTAACAAGTTTTGTGATCTCCGTTTGTATGTATTACCATAAAATGTTTCATGCCAGGGAGGGGTCTTGGTGCCTTGTGATACGGGTTCTTTGGATACGCAGTTCAGACACCAGTTCTCTACAACTTTGATGTATCTATGGTATTATTTTATTTTAAATGTTTCATTGTACTCAAAAAAGTTGTGAGATAAATAAATAAACATTAAATATATATATATATATATATATATATATATATATATATATATATATATATATATATATATATATATATATATATATATATATTACAAAGTAACAATCAGTTCCAGACAGTATATTGGGAAGGCATTTGTTCAGTTATTACAAAAACATATAAATTATTATTATTGAATAAAAAAAAGGTATAATACCTGCAGCAAGGAGCAGACTAAGTAGGTGAGGCCAAACGCGAATTGTACTGTTACGATGCCTTGGTAGACGACATCGGCTACCACCATAAATATCGTTTGTCCTAACACAGCCAGCACCAACAACATACGGGCCACCTTCGCAGCAGGAGCTGAAATGGAATTATAATTAATTAGTAAAATTGTATTTAAATAAAAATTGTTAAAAGTAGTTGATGCTATAGATATACCTATAGAAACATAGTTTATTGATACTCATGAAGACATTTGCTTCTTTTGGTTCTTGGTTTTTACGCAACTTGGAATGATGAAAAACCCAACTAATAATCATGATAGATAGTGGATAAACATCGCCAATTAACGTGAACAGCACCATGGATAATGATATGACGCCCCTTGCATGTCTCATACTTCATCATTTCTGAATATTTAATGTTATGTTTTCACAATAAGTAGTTTATTTCATTCTAATTCATTATTGTGAACCTTTTATAATACTTTTATTATAATCTTGTGATTTTAATCCCCTTGGAGTGTTTTGCCAATAGTTGCCACACTTGGCAGGCTGATTGACAACCGTAGTTAAGCTAAGAGATGTTTTAAGAGGGACACTGCTGCCCATCCCTCGTCCTCCCCTAGTCTCTTACGACACCCACGGAAAAGAAAGGGATGGCCCATTCTATGCCGGGACCACACGGCGAATTATTATCATGTTAGTGTATACTTTGAAACATTTTCATTTTCACATTCTAAATAAAAATATACTTACTTCCAAAGAACCAGGTTTTCCATGGCCACTCCATGATCCTGGTATTCTCCGGGAGGACGCCAGGAATAGCTGTCTGATGTAAATGGGTGGCGAGACGTGAAGACTGTACGCAGACGAGGTTTCCCCCGATACCGTTGACAATCGGTTGGAACACTTCGTAGCCAGGATATTGGTCAACTGCTTGGTCGAGGACAATGCCTCCAATGCTAAGAATGAAAACAGTTTCATTAACAACATGCTCTGAATATGATCTGTCTGTCATTATTTGTTAATTTAAAAATATTTATTTAAATTTATTCAAAAGCAATGTAACATATTGCTAGCCTATCAATCTATTTAAGATGGTTCTATGTAATGTGTAATGCTACGATTACCATTCATCAGGTGAGCCGTAAGGTTATTTGCTATTCTAAGTTGCATAAAAAAAAAAACAAAAATAGTAAATAGATCTACTATTTATTACATACATACATACATATTTGTCACGCCTGTCTCCCATTAGGGTAGGCAGAAACAATGGAACGCCAAATGCTTCGATTCAAACAAACCTCTTTCGCTTCTACTATTTATTCTTTTTGTAAATTCATTTTCTGGTCAACTAGGCTCAAAACCCTCTATCAAAGGCCAGCGAAGTAATAGCTCCTCTTTGCTTCTCATCTTATGAAAAAAGGCCAACAGTGGGACCTTATTGTGTTGTTAAGATAAGGTAAAGCTTCTAAAAGTTTTAAAATCTCGTATTCTAGGAATACTTACAAATATCGTAAAATAAAAAAAAAAATAAGCAAATAGTCACGTACCCACTAATGAAGAGTGCCGAGATGACGGGCGTCCAGCCAGTGGTGAGGACCGTTTTGGTGTATCTGTTCCTCCATACAACGAAAACCCACATCGGCAGCATGCAGTAGTATACGCACATAAGTACGATTGGCTGCCATAGTGACACCTCTGAGGGACAAAGCGATACAAATGGTAAAGATTTTGCTCTGCAATAAATGATAAACATTATATGTGGATGATAAACAATCCAGATGGGGATTTTGTACGAAAATCATTTGTATTTAAATATATCTTTTGCGCTAAACAGCTGTGATTGTATGACTGTGTTATGTAGTAATAATATGATATTACAGAGTACGAGGTATAACTGAGTTCTCAAGAATAAATCATCTCAAATCTATTGACGAAACAGAGTACTTTTTTTTATACAACTTAGAATGGCAAACAAGCTGGCGGCCCACCTGATGGAAAGTGATAACCGCCGCCTATAGACATGAGCAGTACCATGGACATAACAGAGTATACTGTTTCGCCCATGATACCCCCCATGCGTTGCCATTCCTGAGGACTCAGGTGTTGTTTCTCCGTACTCAGTAAATTCACGCCATATCCCACCCTTCAAACCGAAACACAGCCATGCAAACACAACTGCTTCACGGTAGAAACACGAATAAGACAGAGGTACCCAAGCAATCGACTTTTGTTTAAAATCTCCCTCTTTGTGATGTGCATGCAGCTATTCATATTCATAGGCGATGATTATGTTAGGTAAGCCGCCAGTTTGTTTTCCATTCTAAGTTATATTAAAAAAAATCATTTTGCACATTGACATATTATGGAAGAGAAGAGATCTAGTAAGCTTTTCAAGTAAGCTCCGTATAGAGAAGTGTATTAAAAATGTATTAAAATATATAGTTTAGCAATATTGGTTTAAAAATTATTACAAGTTACATAATTAGATTTAACTTACAATAAATAATAACAGATATGAAATTATGTACAAAATAAAAAAAGTATGACTGATCAGCTATTTAAATAAGAAAATGCAGCAATTATATGTATGTAAAACTGGTAAATACAGTATTATAATGGGTTTGATGAATGCATGAATCTATTATGAGTAATTATTGCATACCCACTCACCAGACTTATCTTCGTTATGGGGCTCTTATGGTAAAAGGAAAACAAAGAAAAATATATTTTATTTTGTAATCACCAATTAAGGAAAAATTTGATTTTACCTACTCCAGTAAGATTATTATGTATATTGATAAAAAAAGACTGTTTGTGTCAATAAACTAAATGTGCTCGACGACAGTCCGACAATCTGTACAAACTAATGGTTGTAGGCAAGATAGAGGGAAAAAACCACGCGGACGATCGCCTAATCGATGGTCGGACCAGATAACCGCCGTTACGGGACTGTCGATTGCAGCTGCCCTGCGAGAAGCTGAAGACCGTGTAAAATGGAATAACATCATAAGAGAGGCAACAGACACCTTTCAAGGACACGACCTTCAGTAATGAAGAGGACGAAGAGAGAGTAATAAAGAGTCAATAAAAAGTATTATTTAAATAAATCTTTAGAAGTACTTTTAAATTATCATATTTTATTATGTATACAACTCTAAATCATTTGACTCAATTGAATTGATACCAAATTGAAATAAAATTCAATACGATTTGTACACCAACTCTTTTAAATCATCACTTTTTATAATTCTAACGCTGACTTTTTATAATTGAAATGTTATTTGTCGAGAAGAACCTGCGAGAAATTCAGTATTTATTTTTCCAAAAATGTATTAGGTACATTAGTAAGGTATAGAGCGGTAAGAATGACAGAATACTCACGTATTTGTTCATACATATACTGGGCTGTTACTGCCAGTACAGAGTTGCTAACGATGTCCCCAATGGAGGCTGCTAATGGTGTAGCCACGTTGTCTGGATTTACTTTGAATTTATGGGACGCGTATATCACCAAAACCATGACGAAATCTGAAAAATAAATGTATATCATATATGTATATGTAAAGAATGATGAACTAAAAATATAATGTGTCATCATTTCTCTTTAATCCCAAGAAATAATGGTTTATAAGAGATGAGAATGTAATCATTTAGTGTCTAAAATATTTGTAAAATATAAATAAATATATATGAATTGATGAATGTAGTAGAAGCAAAAGAGGTTTGTTTGAATCGAAGCATTTGGCGTTCCATTGTTTCTGCCTACCCTAATGGGAGACAGGCGTGACAGATATGTATGTATTTATGTATGAGAATTAATGTAATCATTTAGTATCTAAAATATTTGTAAAATATAAATAAATATATAAAAGTTTAAATTAATAATAATAATAATAAATCTTTATTTCTTTCACAATTGTGCATTTTATTTTTACATTTTACAAAATAGAATATACATAGATTGCCATTGGGATTGGACAGAAGCCGTACTAGGATAACCTGTGTTAATATAAAAGTTTTCAAAATTAATATTGCAAACCCTAGGAAATTTATAAACGCTTCAAATCTAAGTTAAAAGCATATACAAAATAAGCCAATTTGTGGTTACATAAGCTAAAAGTCAAGTTTTAAAATGTTTGTAACAAACTCTCAGAACTTGACGACAATTAAGGTAGATGGAAAAGGAGGAAGGATATATAGTGTTTGTATGGATAGCGTGTTACGTTTTGAACTGTGGGACATGACAGTGAAATTACAGGGTATCGAGGCATTGTTTAAGTTCTATTGTCAGGCTTTCTACACCGGCCAATTATTGTATAGTTATATAAAGAGAGCTTGTAATACACTTCGTATGCAATACAAGAACGTATTTCGAGCGATGCTTAATTTGCCATGGCGATGTAGTGCGTCTGGAATGTTCGCAGTTAATGATTTCTTTGCTATTTTATGCAAGTGTAAAGTAAAATTTTATAAAAGATTAATGAAAATAGGCAATCCTATTGTTAATACAGTATTTCACAATGCGTACCTGATGACGAAAGAATTTATAATATATATATATATATATATATATATATATATATATATATATATATATATATATATATATATATATATAAAAGATTTATAAATTTAATTAAGAAACATAAAATAATTAAAATAATTATACCTTAGTTTAAATTATAATACCTTAGTCACCAGAAATGGCAATGCATAAAATCAGCAATGTTGTTTCTTAAGGTGACTTTTACCACTCACATTTCTTACAATTTATTTACTATTTTAAGCCACTATACAACAGAAAATCTCGCTAATGTAATACCCTTTCTTATTTATTTATTTATACTTTATTGTACATATTAATATATTAATATATAAAAAATATGACAGAGGTAAGTAAATGTACAAAGGTGAACTTAACTCTACAAGGGTTTTCATCCAGCAAACCCAAAGTGGAAAGAGAGTCAATGTCAGAGGGTAAAGCGGTGTACAATACTATGACAATTTACAAACAAAAAGAAACTAGAGAAACTTAATTTTATATATAATCAATTATATTATATTTAGTTTTGTATATACATATACATAAACACTAGGCGTCATGTCGTATAGGGAGGTCAAGGATATGGCCTGGGATAGAGCTGGCTGGAGGAAGATGCATGAATTAGTTGCACCGACAAGTGGAAAGGCTTAAATCAAAAAAAAGAAGACACATACATATACACATACAAATTTACTAAGTTTTTACCTGCGACTTTGCCTGCTTTATCGGAATATATTACTCTCCAATTAATTAATTTCCCTCCCAAATGCTATAGGGGGATAAGCTGAGCAGGGCGCCATAGGCCAGAGATAATAAATAAACGAACTCACTTTCACATTTATATTATTAGTAAAGGTGTTTACCTAACACGAAACAGGTGGTAGTGGCAGTGAAGACGGCTGATGCTAATATAAGCAAGATGTAGTTTCCATTCACAGTGCCATCGGCTATGGTGTTTATCACTATTGCGAATATGGAGACCACGGTTGCAGCTACTATCGCTTGTACCTGCAACAATAAAAATTAATAAAAACAAATCAAAGTCTCCGTCTATTTACATCATGTCAATGTAAGAAGAGATAGTTTAGTTAATTTTTATAATGCCTCATGTTTCTTTAGACAGTCAATATGATAAGTCAGTACTGATAACGGTAAGTGTAAGCATGTAAGAAACTAGAATTTGTTTAAACATAATTGCATAATTTGTTTATTTAAAAAGAAACACCTGAAGTATTATTTTTTTATTTGAACTCCTTGAGAATAATTAGTGGCATTTTTGATAATTAATTTTATTTCATATGTATTTTTTGTTATTTTGTAATTTATTTTGTGAAGTAAGAGAGGAATGAAGAAACTTGAAGTGAGATTCCCCTAAACTAATATTTTTCATCCTAGCACCTGATGATAATTTTATCATTCATCCTTGCCAATATATACCGTTAGTATAAGCAGATGCGGAATTCTGTTTCTATTTATAAAAAAAAATGAACGTTCTCTCTAAAGCCTAAAATCTTTTCCATAGGAATTGTCGGTCCTACATTTTCAACACTGTCTTGCAGAAATGGTCCTTCGAGCCGGATATCGACTTCATCATTAGACTTTTACTTTATGCAATTATTTGTAGCATAAATGCCTGTCTGTCAATCTCAAATTCGTTTATTTTTTTTTTATACCTATGTAAGTTCATATAAAGTTACTGACCTGTACTAAAGATATATTCCCAACCACCATGGAGATAACTTCTTTTGTGGAATCCATGTTGCCAAGATTCGCCTGTGTGGACAGACGAGATGCCAAACACATGTCCAAGTTACCTGTAAATAAGCAAATTAATTTCATTATATGTAAAATATACAAAACTTTATTTTTTTTAATGGGTAACAATGAAATGGTAACCACGCCTATTGTATGGGAATATGCTGGCGGGCCACCAGTAAGAATTGATAGGTGAGGATATAGACAACTCAATTAGCCTAAAGTGACGATTTCACCTGAAATTAAACATGATACTTTCCAAGGAGCACCGCATGGAGATCGACATAACAGGATATATATATATATATATATTTTTTTTTATTGGCTAAAAATGAAATGGTAACCCCGCCTGCGCTAACGGGATACGCTGGCAGGGCACCAGTGAAGGATGATCGATGTGGATGAAAACAGGCCAGTTAACTACTAGTTACTAACAATTCCTTTCCCCCCTTGAAAAAATTGTTAGCTTATGCCCTTCTTCATCCAAAACACTGTATGTTTATCAAATTTCACGACAACTGGTTAAGGCATTATGACATCATAAGGTAACAAACACATAATATCACATTTATAATATTAGTTAATATTAGTTAATGATAAAACAGAATATGTATCATGTTTTTTTTTAGTTTTTTATCTCAAGTAGTAGACTACCTATAATTATAAACTATATTATTATTATATTGTTAGGTGTTATGTGATAAAAACAAAAACTTAGATAATAAACATAATCTGAAACATAACTCTAAGCTGAAACAGAAAGAACGCGCAATAGGCAAACAAATATAACGCTACGACTCGTTTGATGCTTATTTTAATTATAATGATGCAATTAAAATAATTCGTAAACAAAGATTATATTAACAATTCTCGTATTACGTTGTTTATATTACAAAATGATACAGTAATGGAGAAATTGAGATGAACATTTAAACAATAACAACGTTATAAGACCGTCTGATTGTGTGGTCCCTACATAGAATAGGACACCTTCTTTATCCCGTAACTGTCGTATAATAAAAAAAAAACTTAATAATCAATACAAATATTTCATTTAAGAGGGACGCTGCTGCTTATCCCTGTACTATAAACTCCCTCAATCGCCTCTTAAGACACATACGGGAAAGGAAGTTGTGGCCTATCCTATGCCGGGACTTACACGGCTATTGGTTTAGGTTATTTATAATTTTTCAGGTTTTAATATTACAAATGTGAATGTGAGTTTGTTTGTGTGTTATTTCATAGTGGTCACTATGTGGGATGAAATATTATACATATATTGCATGTATATTGAGATCTTGGCAATATACATGCAATATATGGGATGAACAAGGATATAAGCTACTATTTAACCCACTTAATCCACATGTCCTGGTCACGCGGACGAAATTCTAAGTAAAAAGTAGTTTAACATATTTATCAAAAAAGCAGCCATTTCAATCGTATTTTATTTTGTTCTTTATCAGCGCCAACTTTGAGAAACAACGCTTTAAAGTTACATTATTGTACTATGAGTAGTTACGAGTAGATATCAATGAAAATTACTTCATGACAAGTCAACACAAATACCCATTGTTTCAATTCTACCACAACCATAAAAGAATATAGGTAAACCCCCTTCGTAATCAGGTCGTGTTTATAGTTGTAATCCGAGATTGACACAAAATTTAATACTCGTATTAGCGGCGTTTTATCTCAAGATAGCATGCCGCCTTGTACAATGGATAATTGTTTCTGAAAAATGCACATTTGTATTTCAATAACGCATTAACAGCGAGCTAGTTCGATGCCCGATTGCGGGAAAAATGATGTTATTGTTGTAATTTTCTGCGTAGACAGAGACTTCAATTAACTATTACCCGCGGTTTCGCACGCGTAGTAAGTAGTCTTGTTTCCCGTTTTGAGTTAAAATAAAAAAAAAACTTGTGTATTGTGTGTGTGTGTGTGTGTGTTGTAGCTGTGTGTTGATAGTCAATCAAGACAAATGATTTCATAAATATATTAATTAGAGATTTATGCAATTCCAAGTGGTAGCTTACTGTCCAATTAATAAAACATTCATATCAGCCGTTAATTGTCCACTGCTGGACATAAGCCTTCCCCATAAAGGGAGTTTTGCCAGTAGTTGCCACGCTTGGCAGGCGGGTTGGCAACCGCAGATGTTTTAAGAGGGACGCTGCTGCCCATCTTTCTACAATTAAGCTCCTTTAGTCGTCTCTTACGACACCTACAGGAAAGGAAGGGGTGGCCTATTCTATGCCGGGACCACACGAAGTAATTGAAAATTGGTGGGTAAAAATATGTCTTGTTGAGAGATTTTGGAGAAACGGTATAAGTAGTTGATGAAAAACGAAATTCGTGTGGAGAAAAATGGATGTATTCTAAATATACGATTTGTGGGATGGAGGCTAGCTATATTTGCTAGCAATATACCCTGTCAGGCCGACCTCCAAATGATCCTCCCTGGAAACCACCGTGCTGTATTCAGATGTATTTATCACGATCGGCTAACTGACCTGTCTTATCATTCTCACTTATCATCCCTCACTGGTGCCCCGCCAGCGTATACCATTAGTGCAAGAAGGGTTGCCATTCTTATATATCTGTGGTGTACGTAATAGTGTCTGTTTAGTAGTTGGTAGTGAAAGAAACGGACGGAAAGTCTTTGTATAAAAGTAAAAGAAATCATATGATTTTGGAGAAAACTTTTTGTACGGGGAAAATAAAGAATCACGTCTAGCAACAATGTCTTGAGATGTCCGGACACAGACGGACACACAGTGAAAACGTTCGACGTACTAATTGCAAGGCATTAGCATATCACGGTACATAATCACTACACACGTGTCGGAGCCCCGTAATTGTACACAATTGACTCGGGTCGCAGGAAATGACAGATTTTTATCGTCCACAACTCATACGCTGTAAGATTACGTTGTAGCAAGTACGAGACATACAGTTTGTTGTTTATTATGACATTAGCTGTTTTCCGTATTGACAGTCATTTGATTTTGTATACTTTACTTATTTACTAATCACTATACAAGCTGTATATTGCGGTTTTATGGGTTTCTCTTTTAATGTGTGATAACCCCGTGGGGTAACCCCGCTTGCGCTATCGGTATACACCGGCGGGGCACCAGTGAAGGATGATAGGTGAGGATGAAGCAGGTCAGTTAGCCCATCGTGACAAATTAAACAAGAATTAACCACGACGGTGTTCAGGAGGAACCGCATGGAGGTCGACCTGATAGGGTATATTGCTAGACTGTCATTACTAACAATTCCTTTCCCTCTAGGTTTTGTAAGTTAGGATAAACAGTGTACTTACAATTACAAAAAGTTATTGTCATTTTATGTAGGTACAACATTTTATGTAGGTACAACATATTATGTAGGTACAACATTTTATGTAGGTACAACATTTTATGTAGGTACAACATTTTATGTAGTTATATTGTACAATATATTTTGTGTTATAGGAATAATAAATGGATCCGAGGATTATTAAATTTCAAACGTAGGTATACTTAATATATAAATTTAATTATATCCTCGTAACTTATATTTTAACTATCATCTATAATGTTTTACATTTAAATGTATCATAAATTTGATATAAACTATTTTATATATAAACTGACTACTAAAATAAAAAAGAAACGTTGTAATAAAATATTAAAACGATATTACTGTTTATGAGATAGGGAAACGTACTTCAGAATTAACGTCTGGACTAATCAATCTATGTACCAAACTTCCTTGTAAACGGTTCAACCATATAATCCTTCGACCGCGTATTTTTTCCGCTTCATTTTCGCACATCGCTTTGACAACAAATAACATTACGAGTACTTTACCAATCTAGCGAGATACTGAGAAACTATATCAATCTATCAAAACAAAAATCGCGGTATAACAACGTCAATAAACATAAAAAATTGCGAGCACGTGGAAATCGCGGGATGCCCGGTCAGAGGGTTGAGTCATACTGATAACTAATATCTTTACAAGACATCATAATATTACTAGGATCTATATCTATATTTAGATTTTTTTTTTTATATCACGAAGTCGACAAACAAGCATTGGTACAGCTTGTTCGATTGTAAACGGTTACTGTAGCCTATGAACGCCTGTAACACTAGGGGTGTCACGTGCGCGTTGCCGACCCTGAAGACACCTTAATGTACTCTTTTTGTAAACCCCCGTACTGTAGTCCCTAGGAAAAACCTCAGCAGGGAGCTTACCAGAGGGAGATTTTGTACAAAAGTCGATTGCTTGGGTACTTCTGTCCTATTCGTGTTTCTACCGTGAAGCAGGTGTGTTTGCAAGTTTTGAAGGTTTGAAGGGTACAGAGGAATAACATCTGAGACCTCAGAAATGGCAATGCATGGGGGGTATCATGGGCGATACAGTATACTCTGTTATGTCCATGGTACTGCTCATGTCTATAGGCGACGGTTACCACTTTCCATCAGGTGGGCCGTCAGCTTGTTTACCAATCTAAGTTGACTAAAAAAAATTTAGGTTTAAGCATGTATGGATGAATTAGAATATTATAAAATATTAGTTCTTGTTTACAACATCATACACGTGGATTTTGAAGATGATTCTAGATGGTTTATCAAAATTAAACATATATCAGAATTTAAGTTAGGCCTAAGTGCGTCTATGAAATGAGCATACTATTTAGTGCAGTAGTTTGTATAATACCGGAATCTTTAATGACAATGACTTTAATGACAATGATTAGAGACATCGTATAGTTACAATTTCATTATAATAGTAAGGTTATGATTTATATAAATATTCTTTCTTACCTTTAAGTCCCGAAAGAGATGGCACTAATACGAAAATAGCGGATACGTTCACGAAGACATCCCAATCCTGAAAAAAAAAATAACAACAATATTAATAAAGAGTAATAAATAATATATATAATAATAAATAATAACATAAGAAAAATCTACCAAGTATATAAAAAAAAGTTGCCGTGTGGTTCAGGCATATGCCTTTCTTTCCCGTGGGTGTGTTAAGAGGCCATTAAAAGAATTTAATTGTCTAGAGGTAGGCGCCAACGTTCCTCTTAAAATATCTAGTCTAACTGCAGTTACCATCCTGCCATCCAGGCATGGCAACAACTGGCAAAAACTCCCCCTTATGAGGGAGACCTATGTTCAGCAGTGGACAGTTAACAGCTAACATGGTATAGCTCTGTCCCATTCGTGTTTCAACCGTAAAGCAGTTGTGTTTGCATGGCTGTGTTTCGGTTTGTAGGGTGGAATATGGCGTGAATTTACTGGGTACAGAGGAATAACACCTAAGTCCTCAGGAATGGCAACGCATGAGGGTATCATGGGCGAAACAGTATACTCTGTTATGTCCATGGTACTGCTCATGTCTATAGGCGACGGTTACCACTTTCCATCAGGTGAGCCGTCAGCTTGTTTGCCATTCTAAGTTGTATAAAAAAAAATGGTATATAAAAAATAGCCAAGCAAACGAACTCACACATTATAATTTAGTAAATATAAATAAATAAATAATACTGAATATAAATACTCAGTGCTATCTAGTACCAAACTAAGCAGTGTTCGTGTCAAGCCTGGTGTTAAATGCGTCCATAGGTTACGGGTTACCGTAACCTAAAGATACCATACACAAACCATATGCTTGTTTGTCACCATTGTAATATAAAAAAAAAATACTAGACAATTTATAGTAATTATATAAAAACTTTTTTAAAATACATATGTAACATCCAAACTAATACAATCAGTGTTATATATTCATGAATAAAAATGTATTGTCCGGGAATTGAACCCGCGACCACAGATAAGGCGGTGTGTTAAACCATAAGACCACCAAGGTCAAATCTGATAATAGTTAATTAAAGACAAATTAAAGTTAGACGAATGAATAGAATAAATTAACCGTAGTCTAGATCATTTGTGATTTTAGTCATGGTAAGAAATACTTGACCATTGATAAGACAATTTTGATGATAACACAGCGACGCCTTTTATGTAGGCACAGGTTGTCTGTATGTACACATGGTTTTATCAACATATACTTAAGTGCTTATATATTTTTATCGTATCAATAATGTGTAAATAATAAATGTATATATACAAATAAACAGAAGGAAGAATCAAGTTATATTTTTAAAGAAGAAAATGGAATAGTATGTAATGCACTGCTGTCAATTGTGGCAAGCAAAAATGTATCGTGCAAAGCTCGCTTTTCCATAATTTAGGGAGTAATAACACCAACGCTCGAGTATGGAAGCGATTCGTTGGCAGAAGAAGTATGAAAAAATTCTGTAAGGATAAGAGCTCTGAGAAGTATTTTTATTTACTTATTTATACTTTTGTACACATTAAAATATGTCTAAATATGTGTGGTATTACGTTAAAGGATAGAGTGAGAAACAGTGTGATTAGAGTGAAGTGTGGACTGAAACACGATGTAGTGACAAAAATCGAAAAGTGAATGTTGCGTTGGTCTGGCCATTTGGAGAGGATGGATGAAAGAAGAATTACGAAAAGATTTATCGAGTAACAATGAATGGAGATGTTGGTATGGGCAGCCCTTATGGACATATGTCGACCAAATAGGTGATGTGCTGAAGAAGAGCCAAATTAAAATTACCCGTAGCCGGTGAGCGTGTATGAAAATATTGATGAATGTAGAAGAGGCGAAAGAGGTTTGTTTGAATCGAAGCATTTGGCGTTCCATTGTTTTTATCTAAAAAAACATTCATCTGGAAAACACATGTAAGTGATATGTATGTATGTATGGAATGGTAACCCGATCCCGATTGCGTATCTGAAAGATAATAAATGAGAATGAAGTCTGGTCAGTTAGTCCATCGTGTCAAATTTATTAGGCATTAACCGCGATGGTTTCCAAAGCAGATCACGTGCAGGACGACCTATTGGATAGCCCATCGTTTCAAATACATACATACTTGTATTATACAAGGAAGACAAGACCCTAGACAGTACAGACATTATTCACGAGTATTAATGTTTGTATTGTATGGGATCGAACCTGCGAACATAGATGGGTAAACCGCTAAATTAACCACATATCATCATCATCATCTCAGCCATTATCTGCCCACTGTTGAACATAGGCCTTCCCCCATAGGCTAAATTCCGTAACAATATTGTAATGCTATAGAAATGAGAGTTCTGCGAAGTGTATGTTGTGTTATATTAAAAAGACAGATTGAGAAATAACGTGATTAGATTGGACTGAAAATTGATGCAGTAGATAAAATTATTGAAAAGGAAATGTCGTCCACGCCCCAACATTTCAATTCAATATGTTTATCAGAGAGAACGGATGAAAGAAGAGGGATATATCATTAGATAAAGACGGAACGATGCACCTGCCTATCAACATCATAATGTCTACAGCTGAACATAACGTCCTCCATGAGGGGAATTTTGTCAGTAGTTGCCGGGCTTGGCAAGCGGGTTGGCAACTGCAATTTGATTTTTGGTTATGTTTTAAGAGGGACACTGCTGTCCATCTCTCTGTCTAAACATCCCTTAGTCGCCTCTTACGACACCCACGGGAAAGGAAGGGGTGGCCTATTCTGTGCCGAGACTTACACGGCTAGGTACCCGGCTATGCTAAAAATAAACAATAGCAGGACACCAGTGAAGGCTGAAACCATGAAACCAGTTGGCTCATCGTGGCAAATTCGTTAGGAATTAACTACGATAGCTTCTAGGGGAGATTACGTTGAGGTAGATCTAATATATTGCTAGTAATGGGAATTAAACTCGTATCGGACATATTACGAGGGAATGAGTGGAAATGGAATAGGCAACCTCAGACGGACCAAATATATGACTGAAAACTTGCAAACAATTACGAATAGATTGATTTTATTTATTTATTTATTTAACACTTTATTGCACCAACATAACATGATTTGTTAAAACAATTTTCAATACGTATAGTGTAGTACAAAAGGCGGTCTTATTGCTAAGCAATCTCTTCCAGACAACCTTTGGGTAGAAGATGGAGGAAGTGAAATAGGTCTTATGGGGGGGGGGAAGGGATTGTTAGTAATGGAGACTGAGAATCCCATTGCTAGCAATATACCCAACCAGGTCGACCTCCTCGCGATTCTCTCTGGAAACTATCATGGTTAATTCCTGATGAATTCATCATGATGGGCTAACTGGCCTGTTTTCATTCTCATCTATCACCCTTCACTGGTGCTCCGCCAGCGTATCCCGTTAGCGCAGGCGGGGTTACCATACCATTTTAACCCACAAAAAAAATAGGTCTATTGGTATTAAAATTATCGTTATTTCTGCCTACCATAATGGGGGAAATAGTCGTAACTCAATTGTATTTAGGAAGTAATAATGTTCTAGATACTGACCTTGACAGTACCAAGGACGAGACCAGCGCCGATAGTTCCGCAGCCAGCTATGAAGAACGGCACCGCTACCTGCATCAGTGTGTTCCACCATCTTTCTTCCTTCTTCTGAAATAAGAGATTTTTTTTAATATATACATATATATTCTTTATTGCACTTGTAAATTATATTGTTAATGCACATATTTATAAATGTTGTGAGCAAGTGTGGTCATATCTCTGACAGAGATCTCTTCCAGTCAACCCAATACAGTTGGAAAGCATGCCGTTAGCGGGTAACTGAAGTGCTACAACTATTAATATTTAGAATACGAATTACTATTAACACTAATCAATACTACTAATAAGGAATAATATTGATTTAAATTTCAATAAAATTAGCTTCGGATCTTACGAATCATTGTATAGTTCTGTAACTAGTTCAGACCTTAGACCTATACATAATAAAACAATAAATACTGTACAATTACACCAATTTCTTGATTTTTATGTTAAGATATCCTGTGTTATGAGATACAATAAATACATATACCTTAAAATACTCAGACCCAACAGAGACAGTCAATTATAAAACTCGTTTTCTAAATTGACTGAATCGGGAATTGAATTGGAGATCTTTTCGCTAAACGACATGCTTATCGTTGCGCCTTCGCTCGTAATCGTCAAAACGAAAATGCATGATGCTTATTTAATTTAATTTATTTTTTAGACTTTGGGGTACTAGGATGGCCTTTTTAACGATAGAGAGGACGATACTTCGTGCGAATGGATTTAAGAAGTAGAAAAACCCATGAAATATGATAAATAGATAGCGTATTAAGATAAAAAATATACTAGCTTTTGATTTAGACCTTAAGGAATACAATTGTATAAGCTGCATCTAATTTGATACAATAGTCTTTGCGTGATGCCGGAACAAGTATGTAGACAAAGATATAGAGAAAATTTCTAAAAAATATTGTTTTGACGTCCACTAGTTTAATAAAACCTCCCATATTAATTTTTCTTAAATAAATATCTTCCATGTACAGATATAGCCTAGTTACAATTTTATTATATAAATAAGATTTGCTCTTGAAGACTCAATGCCTCGAACAATTGTCATAAATTTTGCATATCACTTTTAGCACGATGATGATGATATCAGCCACATTTTAATCTTTAACTGTCCACTGTTTCGCCCATAGACTGACATAAAAATGGTCACGAACCACCTGCATCCACTGACACCATACATTTTAGGTCGTTACTCCGTACAGTACACACGGTAGGTGGGGGGGGGGGGTGTCGTTCTATCTACACTGTATTTGCCCGTACGGGGTTACCAATCAAGAACCTTTCTTCCCCACTGGACATACATAATCTAGTTTACAGTTACAATTTGCTTATTACCATAGGTCAATAATAAAAATTAATTGCGCGCTTGTAAGAATCAGTCAATGTAAAAAAAAAATATTGACAACAAAGTATTTTGTTCTCACATTTATGTCATTTAGAAATAATTCGATTGTTAGTGACAATAAGTTATTTTTCACACAACTCACAAAAACATTTTAAATAACACATTCTATAGTTATTCCGCTTCTATGTACTCGTATACTTCTATGTATTTGCTGTTAATTTTTTTTTTGCTAGAGTACGATGAAATACTTTAAAAATTTCGACTAATTTGATTTCTTCGATTTTCAGTAAAGTCCTTGTAATAAAATTTTGAAATTCTGTGACACTGATGGTCATTCCCAGTCATTCGCTTATGGATTATGGTCGCAAATACTACCCTTTTTCATGTATCTTTACGTTTCTGTAATGTGTCAATTTATTTGTCTATGACTATTTTTAGACTTATTGTGAGAAATAGGTTTATTTTCATACAACTACAAAGTACAGGCTGGTTGTAATTTAAAATGGTTTTAAATTGAGTTGGTACGTTTAAAACAATCGTTGATTTCTGTATCTGCTCTTATATTAAATTTTATCATACTTTTGCATTATATTAATTCTGTTTTGTTTTACAATGAAATTATTAACTTTTATCTTAAGTTATAGACCTACATTTATTTTAGTCACAACCTGTTACATTTCAACGCTTCCACTATTATGTTTATATTAATCGATTTAATTCTCGATTTTGTAATCCTTTGGATTAACAAGAAATTTTTAAAATCAGTTTAGTATTAATGAAACTCTTCTTTGAAGGCGACTGTAAATATTACCAAATTGCATTGGAATTATCGATAATCACTTAGCATAAATAAAAACTAGCGCTATCTCCATTTCGCTATCACCTCTCAACTCTTCTTCTCTACTTTCTCTTATCTAATTTAGTTCTCCGTTTCGAATAGTCACCCTTTCGTCTGGGTATAACAATTATTATGAAAGGATTTGCATTTTTTTGTTTCTAACATACTAAATTCTTCTGTAATTCTACTCTTTATCTAAATATATAATAATATAATAATCTATAATAAATATATAATAATCTTACTAATATTATAAATGTAAAAATGTTTTGGCATAGTTTTAGCGAAAAAATTGGGTTTAGTTACTCTTCTTTTTAATTTTTTTTGTTTCTATATAAATCATACGACACATTCTTAAAAGTTTTAGGGTTGAAACCCTCCTACTATATTTTTTTGTGGTATATAGAAAATATGTTATAGAATATATCCTATTTATCATATATATATATCATAAGTTTCGAGGGTGGAACTTTCCTCCCTTATTATTTTTTTGCGGTATTTAGAAAAGTAAACAAGCTTCTGACCTGACAGAGAAAACAGTGACCGTTGCCTTTAGACATAAACGTACAAACATACACTGTTACATCCATTGTACATCTCACGCAATGCAATTGCTTATAACTATTCCATAATATTGGCCGTGTAGTCCCGGCATAGAATAGGCTGCCTCTTACATTCCCGTGCGTGTTGTAAGAACCGACTAAGGGAGGGCGAGGGATGGACAACAGCTTCACTCTTAAAATATCTCTTAAGCCAGACTACGGTTGCCAAGCGTGACAACTATTGGCAAAACCCCCAAGGGGGTCCAAAGAGGCTTATGTTCAGCAGAGGATATATATATAATATATTTATTTATTTATTTATTTGAAAATTACTCACCACACTTACAGTCTCCCAAAACGTGTAGTGAGCCATAGGTTTATTTTACAAACTTACAAATTATGTACAACATTTTAAAAATATATCTATTTTGTCATTAAATACGTCAATATCTGGTCGCTGAGCAATCAGAGAATTGAGCAGAGAAATAGTCTGATAAGTGGGAGCAAACTGAGCAGTACAGGTGCGAACTGATATGTTAGTGATAATTCCATAATGAATATAAAAAAATTAAATATGAACAAATATGCTTACCAATATCATATTTTCTGTCTAAAATCTATTTAAAATTTGACAGGTTTTATATATTTGAATTTAAAAGAAAGCAAAAGGCTATATGGACAAGTGTCACTATGAACAATAATTGTGTTGTGAACAATAACATCGTATCTTATAAGAAGAAACCTATCTAGAGGTTTACACATAAAGGAACTGATAGTACGCGATATCAGATAATAATGGGAATCTGCGAATTACTTTATCATGATTGTGACGAAAAAAATGTGACTGTATGAATATTTTTTTTTTTTATACAATTTAGAATGTCAAACAAGCTGACGGCCCACCTGATGGAAAGTGGTAACCGTCGCCTATAGACATGAGCAGTACCATGGACATAACAGAGTATACTGTTTCGCCCATGATACCCCCCATGCGTTGCCATTCCTGAGGACTCAGGTGTTATTCCTCTGTACCCAGTAAATTCACGCCATATCCCATATTCATGTGTTGTTTTGCTGTTTGTTTATTATATTAAACTAGCGATCCGCCCCCGGCTTCGCACGGGTGCACATGGCGTCACATCACATAAGAAACCTCTAAAATTATCAGTGTTTCTCTACTATATTATGAATGTATTATACATATAAAGCTTCCTCTTGAATCACGCAATGGGTTTTCACGTGACAGTAATAGTCTATCTATTAAAAAAATCACATAGAAACCGGTTGCGTAGTTTTAAAGATCTAAGCATACATAGGGACAGACAGATATATATATTTTATATATACATTTTATACCTACTATGTAATGATAGTTTTGGCGTCATTATTAAATATAAAAGCTGAAATACAAGCCGTACGTAGAACTAAGAATCTACCTATGATGTATATGTATTTAATATAGCGTATTTGAACTGCCCAGGGCTAATGGGTCTTCCCCTTTCCTCCGGGGTTTCCCCTTTAATTTCGTGAACAGAGAATTATAATTTAATACAAACATATAAGGTTTGAGCGTATTTTGAATCTGTTAATTAATAACTCCATTTGTAGACAGATTTTGAAAATATTTACTAAATATGCTTTAAATGAATTCGCGCTATGTACTTTCTTGATTATATAGTAAACCATGCATATACAGGAATTTCGCGAATTAAAAATTTAAAAAGAAAAAAAAAATGTTAAGCCACATTTATTTAATAGTTAAGACGTGTTTGTATTGTATAGAGGGTTCAAATATTGTCTGTTTCTCTGTCTGTATGTTTGTTCCTGCATCACGCAAACACTACTGCACCAAATTGGATACAGTTTTTTGAGTCGACTTCCTGAAGGTCTTACTTAAAATCTAATGTACGTTTTCTCTTGATACGCCATCTGGAAAAGTTCTTAATCATTGGTTTTTCTAATTCTGAAATTCACGGGTACGAAGTAGCGGGCAAGAAGTTAGTCATAAATAAAATAATACGAACCCCTGATAGTGGTTGTTTTTCGGCATCAGCATCAGTGATTCTCTTGTCCGGTGGGTCTCCCGGACTCTTCAGGTCTCCGGAGGAATTTATGGATGCCATGTTGTATGTGCTCCCGGAACATCCAATATCATCTGGAACAATACAAGTTAGAGATATTAAATCCAATCCTCTTTTCTCCAAATTTTAAAAAAAAGGTCAGCCAGTTGTTTTGAAACTATTTGTGTTTTTTTTTTGTAATTGTAATTGTTACTTAGGGATTACATCCATAGAGAAATGCACTCTATGGTACTGAAGCAATGATGGTTACCTATTTCACAAATAGTTTTCGCTCTAAAAAGATAAAAATAACATACATTCGTTTAAAATTAATACGAGATTGAAACCTACGTCATCAAACTTTATCAATTGTAAAAAAATGTGTGAAAATTGGATCAAAATTTTTCGACTTGATTGTCAAAAAATTAGAAGAACACGAAAAATTTGATGATTGATAATTCTCAATCACCAAAACTTAATTACAAATGGAAGAAGGTTCCCACCAGTTGTGAGTAGCTTGAAATGAACATATTTATAAATATTTAATTAAATGAACATAACTACATGCTACTACATTTCGTACAACCCGGCGATATAACTATTAATGCCTATAAAACTCGGCCGGATGTATGAAATACTCGTACATTGTACGATTCGTATCTTTATACGAAATATAAGGTGGGTTTAAATTTTTATTTTTAACGATTTTAAACCCCTTCGCGCGGGGGGAGAAGGGATTGTTAGTAATGGAGATTAACAATTCTATTGCTGGCAATATATCCTATCAGGTCGACCTCCTGGAAACCATCGTGATTTATTTATAGTTAAATTTGTCACGGTGGGTCAACTGACCTGCTTCATTATCATCTATCATCCCCCACTAGTGCTCCGTCAGTGTATACCGATAGCGCAGGCGCGGTAACCATTCCATAATCACTAATTAAAAAAAAACCCTCGCGTTACGTAATATTTTTAATATTTTTTTTTTATTTAAGAAAGATACAGTTGCATAAGGTACAATTTACAATTTTTACAATTTATATACAACGAGGAAATATCTGCATTACCATCAGTCCCCAAACTAGGCCAGACCTGTATCTTGGGGACTATAACGTTCTAGATCTCATTTTGTGATCGAGCAACAAAAGTAACGACAAGTAATTTTCCATTTAATTTAGTAGAATAAGTGACATACCGTCGCTTGGTCTAAATCCACTTGAATAAACGCGAATGAAATAATTGGAAAATAGGAATAATAATAATAATAGGTATTTTTCCAGTACAATACAGTATTTAACACTTGTATGGATGACTGCACACAGTCATTATACTTATTTCTATTTATTTCTAAAACAAATACTTTTTTTTTGGAAATATTTTTTTAAACTAAGTATGTAAGATAGATTGCCGGTGTACGAGTATAATTGAGCTATAATTTTGGGGGGAAAGGGATTGTTAGCAATGGAGTTTGACAGCCCCATTGCTAGCAATATGCCTTATTAGGTCGATCTCCACGTGGTTCCCCCTGGAAACCATCGTGAACAATTCTTGTTGAATTCGTCACGATGGGCTAACTGACCTCACTGACTGACTGACATCATCCATTAAAAAAAAACCCATTTACCAGTTACAGGCATCCTTAGGTTACGGCAACCCGTAACCTATAGATGCATTTAACACCAGGCATGACACGAACTCTGCTTAGTTTGGTGGTACTAGGTAGCACTGAGTATTTATATCCAGTATTATTTATTTATTTATATTTACTAATTTATAATGTGTGAGTTCGTTTGCTTAACTATTTTTTTATATACCATACCATGTTAGCTGTTAACTGTCCACTGCTGAACATAGGTCTTCCTCATAAGGGGGAGTTTTTGACAGTTGTTGCCACGCCTGCCACGAGCTGCAGTTAGACTAGACCGATAGCGCGGCTGGGGTTACCATTCCATTATCATCCATTAAAAAAAATTGTGCTATATATTTGGTAATTCTAAACCTATTTTGATAATTATTTTTGGCAGTATGTAAGATTGACCTCCATGTTAGTTCCATATTAATTTATTCATGCTCTTGGCTCCGCGTACAACGCGGTTTCAGAGATGTTTTCTCCCACGAACACTCAGGTTATGGAATGAACTCCCTGCCGAGGTTTTCTCAAGAGACTACAGCATGGGGTTCTTCAAAAGGGGGGTAAAGAGGTTTCTTCAGGGTCGGCAACGCACGCGTAATGCCTCTGGTATTGCAGACGTTCATAGGGTACAGTAACCGCTTACCATCAGGTTTTTTTATGGTTGATAATGGAATGGTAACCCTGCTTGTGGCTTACCATAAGGTGGGCCGTATGCTTGTTTGCCACCGCTGTGGTATAAAAAAAAGAAAAGTAAAAGAACCATCAACCACTCTACGTTTACCACTGGATTAAACCAGTTTCGAAATAATTATAGCAAGATTTCTAAACAATATTAATTTAATTACGATTGAAGTTGTCTTTTTATTTTCTGACTTCAATTTTGACAAAACCAGTTAATTTGATTAAAAACTAAACTTTTTTTTCTATATAACTTAGAAAGGCAAATAAGCTGACGGTTCACCTGATGGAAAGTGGTAACCGTCGCCTATAGACATGAGCAGTATCATGGACATAACAGAGTATACTATTTCGCCCATGATACCCCCCATACGTTGCCATTCCTGAGGACTCAAGTGTTATTCCTTTGTGCCCAGTAAATTCACGCCATATCCCACCCTTCAAACTATCAATCCAATGACCAATCAATCAATACATGTAATAAAATCGTAATTGGTCGCTGTCTGTTCATGAAAAATATATATAAAAACTATTATAGAAGGGCTTTATGAAAAAATAGAACCCAAAACAATTATTTCTTAAAATTTGTCTGTTTATCCGTATTCTCTTTGTCTGTACGTTTGTGCGCGCTAATTTCAGAAACGGCAGAAGCGATTAAGAAAGGGCGAGAAATGGACAGCAGCGTCTTTCTTAATATATTACCAAAATTCAAATTGCGGTTATCAATCCGCCTGCTAAGATTGGCAAAAACTGCCAAACCCCCCTTATGCTTATGTTCAAAAGAGGAAAGTTAACGGCTGATACATAATTGTCAATCATTTAGTAAAATAAAACAATACAGGAAAACAAGTGTTCTCCTTTATGAAGTTTATATAAAAACAATAAACACATTTATTGACGTTATAAGAAATAATTTCTGTCTATTTATAGGAGAATAATATATTTCATTTGTGTAAATAAAGTCAAAGCAAATTGAGACACGTTGATTAAATGTCAAACAACAAAATTTTATAACGTATATTGATGTTTCTTCAGGGTCGGCAACGCGCACGTGACACCACTAGTGTTGCAGGCGTCTATAGGTTACAGTGACCGTTTACCATCAGACGGGCTGTATGCTTGTTTGCCACGTTAAAAAAATAATTAAATAATTAATTATATTAACAGAAAATTATTGTGATATTGTAATACAATGTTAGTATTTAACGGGTTAATAAATCTAATTTATATGATTTGTAACATGTTTGGTTTCGTATAATTCACTTATAAGATAATACCTGATCTTAGCGCGAGAGGCCTATTGGACAAGGCGGGTTATACAAAATGAATCGTATTATGATTCACGTAAAGTAGATATTTTAACACAATTCGTTCCCAAGTTGAAATAATCTTTGAATCCCCCACTATTCAGTTGTAGAAGAAGGGATTGTCAGTAATGGAGACAACGACCCCATTGCTAGCAATATACAATATCAAGTCAACCTCCACGCGGTTCCCCTTGGAAACCATTGTCGTTAATTATTGTTGTTTTTTTTAATGGATGACAATGGAATGCTAAGCGTAGCTAGTTAGTATAAAAACATGCATTCGATACTTTGTTAATCGATGTTGAATTAAGCTACGGTACGCTGAATGCAGTTTTTTTTTTGAGAAATTGCTCCACCGATAGTCTGTTATCTACTCTTCCGTATTTTTAACCGACTTCAAAAATAAGAAGGTTCTCAATTCTCCGTCAGTTGTAAACCGATATGGATTTTTTTTTTATTAGAAAGGATATACTTACAGATTTGATCCCATAGAATATTTATCAAAATCGGTATATATGTATATATAAAGAATAATAGGCATACTGTAAGCTGTGTGGTCCCGGTATAGAATGGGCATTTCCTTCCTTTTTCGTGGGTGTCGTAAGAGGAGACTAAGGGAGGACGAGGAATGGGCATCATCGTCCTTCTTGTAAACATTATCGAAGCCTAACAGTGGTCGCCAAATCGCCTGCCAAACGTGGCAACTACTGGCACAATCCCTTTTAAGGGGAAGTCCTATGTCCAGCAGTGGACAGTTAACAGTGGATTATTATTTCTCGGTTTGTCCAAAGGTTGACTGGTAGAGAACGCCGTCCGGTGTTAAGTCCACCAAATGTACATAGGATTTTACTGCGCATTAAAGTTTATATAAATAAATAATAATAAAAAAATGATAAAATATCTGTCGGTATACAATACAACTAAATATATTACAAGTAACGTTTCCATGTGAAAGCGATTTGTGTCAGCGCGCAATCTCAAGGTTGGCGTTGTCTTTTTCTATTATTTTTCGTTTTACTTCGCTCGATCGACCTATAACACGTGCCGATATTGTTATGTACCATCGGTGATTACTCTTAACCAGTGTTCACACAAGATATGACGATTTAAAAATGATTGTAAACAAGTCTATTTTAATTTAATAAAGTGAACTAAAAAGTATATTAATTCATCTAAGTTCTTACAAGGCACGTAATTGTTGGCCTTTTTTTATTAGTTCAAAAAGTAGTTTTAACTGAGAAGTACTTTTAGTAGTAAGAAACTTGGTTGTTTAATTTTTAAACTAACTGATATCGATATAAAATTATACTGTACATAAGCATAATAGAAACGAAAACAATATTTGTCTATCTATCTGTAAGTTTGTTCGGGCATCAAGCACGAAATACTAAATTAAATTTTTCACATTTGTATTTCGAATGTCGAATTGTCGTATTCAAAATCTAGTGTAGGTTTCTGGTTTTTATACGAAGTAGCG